GACTTGAGTACCAACTACCACCGCCAAGCTGCAATTCAACTGGAAACCGAGGTTTCTTGCTGGTACAACTGGTTCTGCGAAGTCGTAAAATCTCAACAAGAGTATGTTAGAACACTTTCCAAGTGGATCCAACGTACTGACAGTCTTGTTGATGACCATCGAAAGAGTCTTTACTCATCTTCTGTTCGTTGCATGTGTGAACAATGGAATCTTGCTTTTGAACGATTACAACATAAGGTATTTCTGGTATAACCTTCTGTTGGCTCTCACTGATTTTCATGACAATTAATATTCCTGAAAGGAAAATTCTTCATGCTCTAGTCTATGAGCTAGATGTCACTAAAAGCAGAATGTATAATTTCATATGCTGTCATCGCATTCACATCACTTGTTTGGTCATGGAATTTCATTGTGGGAGTCAACCATTTTATGTTGACTGGACTCGTGGTTTGATACACATTTTTTTATGCTTTGTTGTGCTTACAGGAGGCAGCAGAAGCCATTAAGAGCCTTCAATTAGCAATCTGCTCAATTCGCGTGCAGCAAGTAGAGGAGCACAATGTGCAGAAAAAATATGAAAAACTTGAGAAAAGACTGCAAAAGGAGTTATATTCATTGGCTGAGATGGAGAAAAAGATGGAGGGGAGTGTCACCGAGGGAGATGAGTACTCCAGTTTAGGCCCTAAGCATCCTTTGTCACTTAAGCGAGACAAAACTGAAGACTTAAAAAAGGAAGTGGACAGTGAGAAGGCCAAATTTCTTAACTCAGTCCGGGTTAGCAAGTCCCTGACACTGGAAAACCTAAAAAGAAGCCTTCCCAATGTATTCCAAGCGTTAATGACATTTTCTAGTCTCTATGTTGAAGCCATTGAGGCTGTTTGTGGCGTCGTTAAACCAGCCGATGATTCTGATGCTACATTGTCAACCTCATAGAATTAACGCTGTTGCCTTGAAAATATGGAGATGAAATATGAATCTTCCTGAGTTATCAGGGTAGTTGAAGATGTTAACATTAGAATGCTGAAGATTTTGTTAGATTGGCAGATCTTAATTGCTTTTCAAAGATGCCGTTATATTGCCCTTTCTGTCCCAAGGAACTTGAGGCGGGGTAACAGGACGTTTCTAAACCACATCGGAATGAAGTTCTGTCCTCGATTGCTGTGTCTTCTGGAGCATTTGAATAAAAGCAGCCAAACAGATATTCAAGAATAATAATTTCTCAGCAGCAGGATATTAAATAGTGGGTAGACTGAAATCTCATTGCAAGTGAAAGAAAAGAGAAACTCAACAATGATTCATTCCATAACTTGGCACCAAAGAAATGACTTTTTTTTTTTCTTTCAAAAATATAAGATTAACGTTGATAATCATGACTTGTGTGAGTTGCAGCTATAAGCGGAGATGATAATTATGTTGCAATTTGGGCAAACACCTATCCAATTAATTCCTCTCCCCTTCATTGAGAGGAAATCCCAACTAATTTGTATGAATTTTTTTTAAAAAAAACAGTGCACAAAATAATATAAAATAATTAATTACTATATATTGAGTAATTTATGAAATTAATTTAAATATTTAAATGCTAATTATTCACTAAATAAATAATAATT